TGGTGGGTGACTAAGAAATTTTCCAACAATGCTTTTTTTCAGGGCTACGAGCATGAAGCTCTTCAATGCAAACTGATTGATGCAAATTATAACATTTTGAAATCGGCTTTTTGCGAAACTCCACAACCTTTTGAATGCTTCGTGACCTGAAATAAGGATTTCTTTGAAATTCATTGAACTCAACTGGATAATTTGCATTTCGAAGTGTCGCTCGGCAAACTGGGTCTTTCGAGCAGTCACCCAGTCAAGAAATATTAAGCAAAAGAACCAGTATAAGTAGAGAAACTCCGATTAATCTTGAAATCAAGGTTGCCTTCATGAGTTGCCTTGAAAATCAAGGTTGTTTCCAAAACTCAGCCAGTTGAGTTGCCTTTAAAAACCAAGTTGTCTCATAACTGAGCCAGAATCCCCATTCTACAACTACTTGGGACCAAATTGAAAAATTCATATATCGTAGCTGATAGCTAGTTTAGAATAATATAAATGCTCAGTATGTGGCCTAATTCCTTCCCAGATGTGATCTCCGCATCTTATAAAATGTAGGGGCATTGTTTGAGACGGTTAGCCACACCTTTGTTTGATAGGGCTTCAGCTGGTAGAAAACACTTTTTTTTTTAAGAATTCCCATAAACGCTGTCTTTTGAAGAACTATTCCTACACTACGTTTATCCCGAAAAATATATTTTTGAAAATCCGTAAATCAAAACCTTTCCGATTGATCCTTCTTTTTTTCGAACAAGCTGTTCACTAATCTTGATCATTCACATGCAATTTTTGAAATATGAACGCAATCGATTGTTTGCGCCATTGTATTTTTAATCCAGGAACTGTTTTTTTTTAATAAAGTGTTTGACTTTGTGGAAATCTTTCCTTTCTAATAAGGTGACTCACTACTGCCTATTGCCAGTTTGACCTTTCCACCATAACTATGCAAAGAACTGAGATTTGAAGCTGACAGTAACGTTCAATATGATGCAAATGTAGTAGTCTTCACAGCCAAAGTACTGAAGAAAAGGAAAGGCTTAATAATGGAAATGCACCATACTCTGTCACAGCGAAACTATTTTTTTGAGTAGATTTCCTTTTTTTATCTGCCATCCCGCTCACAAAGTGGAATGCACTTTGAATGAATAAAAAGAAAGGCTTAGGAACGGAAATGCACCATACTCTGGCTCAGCGAAACTCTGTTTTGAGTAGATTTCCTTTGCTTATCTGCCATCCTGCTCACAAAGTGGAATGCACTTTGAATGAATAAAAAGAAAGGCTTAGGAACGGAAATGCACCATACTCTGTCTCAGCGAAACTCTGTTTTGAGTAGGTTTCCTTTGTTTATCTGCCATCCCGCTCACAAAGTGGAATGCACTTTGAATGAGTTATAAAAAAAGGCTTAAGAATGGAAATGCACCATACTCTGTCTCAGCGAAACTCTTTTTTTGAGTAGGTTTCCTTTGTTTATCTGCCATCCCGCTCACACAGTGGAATGTCGGTGATCTTGGCCTAATAATTCAATGCCGTTCAGTCTGTAGAAAAATGTACTCAAATCCTTCACTCATTGTTGTAAAGAGGGCATTCTTCTTCAGTAATCTGCTATTTAATTCGTTACTCTGCCCTAATGATTGATCCTTTGTTAATTTTGAAGTTTTAGCAAGGATTCTATTTTTTAGCGACTTTGAAAAAATTCTTGAAGAATGCTGAGTCGGTGACGTCATTATCCTCTAGCATGAAATGGCTTTAACTATGCATTTAGACTGAACTGTACTAAGTATTAACTGACAAGGGCACAAAAAAATGGGTTTTACTTGGTTTTAAAGTGAATTTTCCACCAATATAATAAAAATTTAGTTTCCAATGTAATCGCTTAACTTTAAATTGCTTGCTTTGGTTAGAGGCTAGGAGATTTATTCGAAAATAAAAACGGGTTCAATAAATATATCATTACAACTGAATGGTATACACAAAGTAGAAATCGCATTTTGCTCGTGTTAGGACAAAATGCCTCTAAAAAATTACAAAGAGAATCCTGATCCCCCAAATGAGTCAATTTCTGATATCTGCCCTGAATGGTTTCGTAATGAAAATTATTTTTGCTTTCTTGTAACCCAAGACAAAGCCCTAGTACCAAACTCAATCAATTGTTTTCGCTATTGTATTCTTAATCTAAGGACTATTTGTATTTAACAAATGGTAAACACCACAGCGTACACTATTGAGTTATGGATGCACGCGGGAGGTTGCTAAGCACGAAAGAAGCGTAAGAGTCGCGCGAGGCCATAGCCGAGAGTGACTCTAGCTTCTTGAGTGCTTAGCAAACCTCCCAAGTGCATCCATAACTCAATAGTGTACGCTGTGGTGTTTACCATTTGTTTTATAACATAACATTAATACATTGTAGCTAAAGAGTTCCCTTTCATTTAACAAATATTACGTGACCAGAAAAAACAAGCGCGCGCGGAAAAATAGTCTTTGCCTTTGCTCACGTCAGCAGCGTACACCCATGGGAAAATGGGGCACGCTAAATTGACCAATCAGAGCGCGCGCTTTGCTTTGGTTATGTTATAAAATGAGATATGTGACTGAGCGGAACTCCTTCCCACAGCAAATTTTGACAAAAATTAATGCCGCAATTTTAGTAATAACTTTCCGTTGCTGTAACCGTTCTCAGATGACGGGGTTCTAAAACGCATGCGCTGAGCTATTGTTCTGGCCCCGGTTGTTCAAAGAGCGGATAACGTTATCCGAACGGATAAATCGCTATCCAGCGAATAAGTGTTACCAAAACGTACTGCGTTATCCACCGGATAGAGATTTATCTAGTGTAAAGCGCTCTCCGCCCTTCGAACAACCGGGGCCTCCTCTTCAGATCTTTTGTTTTGCCCAGCACTCGTTGCTGTTGCCGCTTGAGTAAGGTCACTGTTGTAAGCAGAAAACATTTCAATATTTTTCCAGGGTGACGCTGGACTCAGGTATATCCACATGTACACACGCTGGCTGATCCACTTCTCAAGGCTTAAGAGTGATAGACATCCATTCTTTCCCAACAGTACCACCCCTAAATCAAACATTGTGATCATCAGAATAAAGCAAACGACGATCGCGAACTTATGAAGCTCTTGATTATTAGACAATTTCTTGGGAAATCGGTATAGAGAATAGGATGAAAAATATGTATTTCGATGTTAGGGTTAAAACTTAATATATTTGAACATAAAGGTTTGGAATCTGGCAACGAAAATATTGCTAATTTACCAACCACTAAGAGATCATTAAAACAAACTGAATGAACCTAATGTTTTACCCGAATTTATCCAATTGTGAACCTTCGATGGGCATTTAAAAGTTCTGAAGAGTTTTCTTATATTTTCCCTTCCTCGCAAAGCATTTTAATTCTTTAAATCTTGACATCAGTATGCAAATTCTCCATACTATTTTCAGTACTTTTCCTATGGTTATGACATGGAGATTTTATGCAACAATCAAGAACATCTCTGGGAGGTGATCATTTCTCTTATTCTCATGCGCACAATTTTTTATTCAACGGTGATACTGCAAGAAGAAATAATATTCCGTTCATTCCTAGTGGCTGGCTAAAGGGTTACGAAAAAAAGGTTAAACAGCTTTGAACGAACGAATTTTCAACTTTATTTGTTTGCGGCTTAAGAGAATACAAGATACATATCTGCTAAATAAAATCTAAACATAAAAAAGGCTATAAATTGTCCATAGAAAACAAAGCTGACTATGGCCGGAGCGGATTAATAAGATAAATTGTATACGACGAACCCAGAATTACTCTGACAAGATACACAGCATTGTCGTAAACTCGTAGAACAGGAATGATGTTCACTCGAGTCGAAGTTCCCTCAAAACGTACATCATAAATCCTAACCAAGTGTGGATTTGAGACATCAAGCGTTATAGACCGCACTCGTTTCGACACACGTAGTCCGATTTTATTCCGCTACGCATGCATTCATCATAACAGTCATCTAGAAAAGTGAGAAATCACACCTTTGGTGAGAATCAAAACATTGTCTTTTTTTTTTTTTGAGAAGTAAACTTCTCAGCTCGGTTCAAAGGGCAGGTAATGCTATCCAACGAATAAATCGCTATCTAGAGAATAAATGGCGACAAAACATACTGCATTATCCACCGGGTAGCCGATATTTATCCAGTGGATAAAGTTTTTCACCCTTCGAACCACCGGGGTATTAGTATCGTAGGCGGAAAAGATGCGCTAGAATCTTGAATAGCCTGAAAGTGTTCTTTGTAAGATTTTGGCAATGTCACTTGTGAAGAAAAGTGATGGTTGAAATGGTTGAAACGAAAACTTGGTGGCAATTATTAAAGAAATTTTTAGATTCGACCAGAGTGAAACATGTATGGTGGCCTATAATAAGTAAGCAACCTGAAGTTGTGATCTTAAGATCTGGATTCTAGAAATGGACGGGTCATTGTGTTTTGCTGTTAAGCGAGTACGGCAGAGGGCATTCGCACTGTCGCAGTGTCTCTCTTTACCCAAGGATAAAAAAGTACAAAACCTTTTTAGAGAAAATTACAGAAAACTGACGAAAGGGTGAATATAGAAGACAACTTGGGATAGAATGGTATCCAAATGAAGGAAATAGCATTGCTCCTAGTCAATCTAAGCAACTGAGACCTCCGGCAGCTGTTCCTGCTACATTTTTTTCTCTTCAAAATCGAAGCGGGTTTTCTCCTATGTTTTTCTTGCTGGTCTCCTCTCTTTAGAAACCAGTCACTATTTATCGCGTAAGGGGTGGGGGTGGAGGTGGGGGAAGGATTTGGAGAGGACCACGCGGTTTTCAGGGGGAACTCAGTCGACGTTAACAGTATATAAAAGGAGACTATAGAACATTGACTGCAAATGAAGGGGATCATTTGAACAAAACAGCGCCTTTGAGGGGTGGTGAAGAAAAGATTTTGCATGCAATTGCTAGTTTTCTTTCATTTGATCATGATGTCGAATCGAGGAACTTGTGAGATCAAGATCTCGCTCTTTCTTTGCGCACTCCTCTTGTATAAGTTGTCTGGAATAGAGTCTTCAAAATATTTGAAAGTGTTGAACGCTCTATCTCACTCACAGAGGAATCAAGTAACTTTCATTGTGACACGACAAAAGTCTTTCGAAATACCCTCCCCTCCCCTCCCCTTCCCCACTATAAATAATGACCGTTCCCTTTCTTTATTATTTTTAAATTACATACCGCAACATTTCTTCGTGCAGCTAGATTCTGTAGATCTGAACATGCAATCCCTGAAGCACTTTCCCTTATCACAGATTCTTCGTTTTTCCAAGTCGTTCAGGTATTTTCTGATGAGGCGTTCTGAAATATACCAAAAAAAGAAAAAGCATTCCTTAAATGGGCTTGAAAACACCTCCTTCGTTTTTGTAATCCAGGAAAAACTGGTAATTATAATTATCAGTAAGGATATGGAAGTTTTTTTTTCCGAATCGCTCATGATCAAAGAAAGCAACAATGACGAGGGAGGGGAGGAATTGTTTTTGTTGAGCATTTTCCTAATTCATTGTTCATTGTTTGTTGAACAAGTTTATAGATATCTTTTTTTAACTTTGCGGAACTATCTATATTTTGCATATCGTTCTCACTTTCCTCTCCTCACTAACATACGAGAAGCCTTAATGTGTGCAGAAAAGGATGCAGTGACGAAAATGGCAAATTTAACGATGTAATCTTCATTCCTTAATCCACCGTTACTTTATTTTAAAAGCGGAGGTTTATAGTAAGAATATAAAGATTGAACGTTAGCAAATACAAGTCTATCATTAATTTACTGACCTTTAAAAGGCGAACGTGACGTCACTGAAATGATCAAAAGGGCTAAGGCCAAGGCTAGGAATGCAGTCTTCATTGGTAAGGTGTCAGCGGTGTTCCCTTCGAGAAGGTTAAAAGCACAGTTATTGGGATTGCCTCTAGACATTGCCTGGATAAGTGAGTGGTTAAGAGGCGCTGTAGATTTTTTTTTTTCATCTCTTTCTAGAGTTTTATTGGATCTGATTATGCTTAATAATCAAAAGGAGTTTTAAAAAAACCAAGACTGCTACGGCAACGAGAACACAACAAAACAAAAGGTTTAATCGTGATGAGCGGTCCAAAAGCTCAGCTCATATGTTTCAAAACTATTTACACTTCATAGCTTTCTTGTACAAAACAGCGACTTGAACCCACCAAATTGCGCAGTCTGAGAACGATACCTCGACTGACGGTGAATTTTCCACTCTTCGGCCTCACAGCTCAACACGGCATTTATATGTTATGTTGAAAGAAATACTTTGCGCAGGCAAAGACGTTAAACGGATCGCGCTAAACGCAAAATTCTTACCAGTAGAAATGAAAGTTTACTTATTGTACGGCGTTTTCAGCGCCCTTGGGCGTCACCACTGTAAATGCTCATGAATGCTCTAGGCCACTTTATAATTCCAGTCATTTTGATCCGACTGACAAATGCAAACTTACCAATTATTTGTTTTTCAGTCACCGCGAGTGAACAAAATCCATGGTCAGTTTCTAATAGAAGCTGCAGCATCTTTGCTTTCATACTTAATTTTTGCCGCCCTTCCTTTGACCGTTGATCTCTTTGAAGTAGGAATAAGATTATCTCGCATCCGAAAAACATTTCCTTGCAAAGAAAGTCTAGGAACTGACAGCTTTATGCTCATGTTATAGAACTCCCAAGGAATTGGGGATGATCGAAAGTTTTGTTTGGTTGGTGCTTAACCAATAAAGATAATTTAAGTTCATTTAGGCTTAATTCTACCCCTGTTGAAGTTGTGAAGAGTAAATCGGTTCCATCATTCTATTTCTCAACCAGACAAAACCAAAGGACTTCTAACATGACAGGACGGAGAACGTGCACTGTAAGTACCTCCCATTGTCTCATGTAAAGCCTTAGTAAAACTTTTCTAAGGCTTTGTATGGGACAACGAGAGGTACTTACAGTGCACACATTTTCCGTCCTGTCATGAAACCCCTAAAACAAGGACTACTACAAATGTTTACCGGCTCAAAATCTCTTTCTGTTTGGTGCCTAATAAAATCATCATGAAAGAATCTAGAAGTTCCCATGCAACATCAAAACAAAGCAATTAATTCTGATGATTGGACTTGATCTATCGAAGCAAGCACAACATATGTTTTTTTTTTCCTTTTCTTTGTTCCACGCTCGTGAGAAGACAAAAAATATCTTTCTCTATTTCTAACCGAGTTTAAAACTCACCATCTTTCTTATTCCATTTACAAATTAAAATATGGCATTGCTGATCGTTGCAATGTGCAGAAGGCGTGTAAAATATGAACTTCGTAGTGGACTTTGCTCTCCAAAGAGTCTCTGTAGCTCAATGGTAGAGCTCCGGAGCACGGATTGTGAAGGTTTGAGGTTCGATTCCTCATCGGAAAGCAAAATTTTCTCTTCGTCCCACGCTCGTGACAAAACGAAAAACATCTTTCTCTAAAATTTCAATTAATTTGATTCTCCCAACATGTTTGCACTCGGGAAAATGTTTCTTACCTGTTTGTTAGCCACTGAGCAGACGGCGAACTGCTTGGGTGAAGATCAAATGAAGATCACTTACAGATTGTTGCATCAACAATATTTCAATGATATCATTGTTAAAATGTGGTTCATACAAGTGTTCCTATTGGCTTGTTTTCGGGCTGTTTCGTGACTCATAGCGCCCTTAATGTGGTTTAATTGCGATCAAAAAAGTTATCATGGCAACTAATTGATCAATTAGGGTCGGTTTACGAGGGATTGCCTTCATTTTTATTCACGTCATTAATATCGCGACTTGCATTGTTGGAGAAGAAAGTCTTTGATCCCTAGCTCCGGCCGTTTTGCGTACATTATCTCATGTGGAGAAATGACACGAAATTAAACTACACTGAAACTTTGTAGTTTTTCCACCACATTTTACCTTTTGTGATATGAAAAGTTACCCAAGGTCGCTTCTACTATTGGAATGGAGAGTAGCTTAAAAAAGGGCTTTGCAAGGAGTGAACATCATGTGATACTATTTCAGTCTGTAGCTATTTTTATTATACGTGCGCTTAACACGCTCTACTTGATGAGACTTGTACGATGAAACTTAGAACTGCAATGAAAACAATTCACAGACCTGTCTGTTCTGCATCACAACTTGGTATAATTGATTTGAAGAGTCAGGGTTGCGACAGAGAGTCTATTGAAAATTCTATTTAAAGTGTGATTGCGTGGGAATAATATGGCAGAATTCCCCGAGGGGATGATCATGAGATCATACAAGACACAGCGTTCTACTTAGACTTGCCCAAACACAGTAAAACAAAATTTCTAACCCTCGATACTGATGAAACATGCACTTGATGAAAGGCGAAAGACCATATTAGCTTAAAATCAATGGTCTTTCAAAATTTACCAGTCTTTTTTCGCGAATAGTTCATAACAATATTTTTCAATTACACAAAGTCATTTTTCCTGTCTCGTGCTGACTCTTCGATGCAGTTTTTGCAGTTTCATAATCAAAATCTATTTTCACAAAGTCGTTTGCCTGTCTCGTGTTGACTCTTCGATGCAGTTTTTGCAATTTCATAATCAAAAGCCATGTCAGAAATAACTATGGAATGCAGACTTGGGGTGCAAAATGGACGCTTAAGTTTACCACGATTAATTACAAAACATTCCAGTGCTTAAGCATTTTACCAGGCTAGCTAATTAGTTTCGTAAGTTTTGTGACATAAGTTTATATTTTTCTTCCCTTCAACGTGAGCACACCTGATGGAGCTTACAGCTTTGCACAGATGATCTTCAAAAGAAGAATAGAAGGGCACACTTTCTCGTCACGCTCATCTATACGAGCAATATCGGTGTTTAAAGGGATTTAAGTTCCTTTTGGAGGCACTTATAATATAAACAGGCCGGCTTCACATTTAAATAATTGGAAAGTCTCTAAACTTTTACTTTCGCAGTGCTCTGTGGAGCGGATCATAAATAATTCCTGTTGATTTTTTGTTTTGTTCGGTTTGTCGAGGATGGCATGAAGATATCATCTATTGATGAGAATAGTGAATGGTTTCGAGAATTTTACTTCTTAGACTTAAATTTATAACACGAAAGTAACGCCATACCAAGAAAATAATCATAGAAAAAGACAATATTGGTGTTGCAGTTTTAAAAAGCTTTTGCCCTAGGGCTTAAAAGTCTGGAAGCATGATATGACCAATTCAAACAAGATTAAAAATAAAATCACGCGCAACACTCGATTTCTCTTTATGTTCAGGCTGAAGATGGACTTGAAACGCCAGCTGCAAAACTATTTGCGGTAGTAGAAAAGTTTACAACTTAGCTGATAAAACCACCGACGCAGCACAACAGTATCATTAGAAACTTACCCACTTTACCCAAATCATGGGCTTGTTATTCAAGTATGTTTCAGGGTAATAGTTCTACCAGCAAACAAAGATATTTAAAACCTTTCTGAGGGGGGTGTAAAAACGAATTGCTTGGATCCGAACCTTCCACTACAAGCTGTTGCCGAATACGCTTGTTCAGTGGTTTCAAGATAAATATTAATTTTCTGTTAAGTATTGGACTGCAGACAGATCTACACTAAATGCAAAACAGAGGGAGACAAGGTTTTATTGCTTATGGGTATGATGATGTGCACTCAAGGGTTTTCTGAGAAATCTTCGGCACCATTTCTTGATGCGATTTGAATAACATTCAATCGAAATGTCGAACAGGTATTAAGCGGTGTTGTAATTAGCGGCCACCGTGTATTATTAAAAAGCATTCGGTCCCAAATTTGTTTCCATCAGCTACTCTAATTTCCACCTCTATTGGGCGGTCACTTCTATCATGCGTTTGTAGTCACCCTTGACTGAGTACTTACAGCCTGTTTGTATTGTCCTTCACATGCATTCAACGGTCACTTAAAGCAGATCAACTTAAATAAGACAAAGAATAATCTGTCAAGTAAACTTTAATTCTTGATCATTTCTTGAAATCAAAGTTTTGAGAATGTAAAAATAAAATATATATATAAAATAGAATAAATCTTTGAAAAGAAAATTTGCCCTGAGCGGGATTTGAACCCACGTCCCTCCTGTTACTAGTCAGGTGTGATGACCACTACACTATCAGGCAATCAAAGAAGTGATTTACGTGATCGGAGACGTGGTCTCCCGGGAAATTTAAGTTTACAAGGTGACCGAAATAAGATTATTACTTACGAGAGAGGCCTACTGGATCGAACAACTTTGTACACTTAGTCCCCACGGACTTAACAAAAGACACAAATTCAGATCCAAAAATCGCGTCCACTATAATACGTAGTTATGGCATCATTTACACANATTTGAGTCGGCTAATCGCAGTTAATAATTTTCCTGTAATGTTCCAACCGACCCTTGACTGCGTGTTCAGTGTCGAAGTGGTGCTTAAGAGACAAATCTAGGGCCTTTCGTGCATGCGCATCAGAGTCAACAAAGCGCCCTTCCCGGAAGAACTGATCAGATCTTACCATGTGATACTGGGTCTGCGAAAATCTTGACATTTCCTCGACAATGCTTATTTTGAGTTTGTCGAGGCACAACCTTGCTTCCATGAGACTTTCTTCGTCAATCGAGCGATCCTTTCGTCCAGATGTTGTATGGCAATCTAACAGCAGCATTGCTTTCTTCATACACGCTAAGTCGTGTTGTTTCAACAAGAAATTGCTTGCGTCCCTCTTTGAGTCACACGAACAAAGTTCTATGCAGCGATCAAATGTCTGTTTAGCTTCCTCAACGACGTATGCGTGAGGGTGCAGCACGTGTTCAAGAAGCACGCAGCCTTCCTCGTAAGCAATGCGTGCTTCTTCGAGAGGAAACTTTAACTTTGAGGATGACATGTGTTTCTT